ACTCGAATTGTATCATTCTCTAGGAAATATATTCAGGGAATAAATAATGTACACCTATTTGCAATCGTTTCCAAGTAAATAATAGCCTGTTGGATTCATCCCCCCACCCATACATTCAATCAGATTGGGGCTTTAAATACCGTTTACACAATATCAAGGACTAAGTAATAGTTCCAGTTTCATTCGTTCACTTTGATCAGTCAAGTACACTAAAAATGCAGTGCTCGCAGTGTGGAAAAGAATTCTCTGCAAGAACAAGTTTATTACGCCACTTAAGGGAGAGCAAACATGTTGATGACAATATGGGGGAATCATCCAAAAAAATCAAAATATCTCCGAAACATGAAATGAATCCAACTATTCAAAACGAACAGTTTGGACAAGGAAGAAGAAGAAATGTTCTGGAAGTACGAGCTGATGGAATAGAACGAATCGGTAGTGCATTCAAATGTCGAATTTCAAGCTATAAGTTCTCTACAAAACATCATCATATCGATCATCATGAATTTTTTGATGATATAAAAAATAATGTCCTTTCGGTTGTTTTCGGTATACATAATACCTGAAAAAAATGTCTCTGATTTGAAATCTTTCAATACGAAGAACAGAATTATAACTCAATCCACCAATTTAGAAGAAATGTATGAAGATTTTAAAACGGATATCATGTCAAAGACGTCAGCTATACAGGAAAAAGACTCTGGTAAGTTAACTGTCAAATTGGAAATTCTCAAATTAATAGTAGAATATTTCAAGGATGGATTTTGCAACAAATCGCGTTCCTGGAAGTCAATATCAACAAGTACAGTCCTCTTTCTGGATCCTCCTTCATAAAACTACCCAAACAGATTGAAAACAGAAAAGCTGTCTTGAATATCCATAATCAAGATGAGAAGTGCTTCGCTTATGCAGTCAACGCAGCCCTTTTTGCTGCTACTGGCAACCCCCAGCGTGTATCCTCATATCCAGATTATTCGACACTACTCAATTTCGAAGGTATAGATTTTCCTGTTAAACTGACGGATATATCAAAATTTGAATTATTGAATAATATATCAATTAACGTTTTCGGTCTAGATAATTTTTTTAAGGATGGTAAAATAATAACTGAAGTAGTAGGACCATTATATTTCACTAAATGTAAAAAAAATACTCATGTGAATCTTTTACTCATCACAGATGATAAAGGAAACAGTCACTATTGTTATATAAAAGATCTTTCTCGATTAGTATCGAATCAGAAATCTAAGCATAACGGACGATGTTTCATTTGCAATGGCTGCCTTCAGTTCTTTAGAACTCAAAGAGAGTTAACGCTTCATGAGAGCAACGATTGCAATTTTATATATACAAAATTACCGACACGCGCTATGACTACTAATAAATTAGGGGAAGAGGTTCCTGAGAATATTCTGAAATTTGTTAATCTTGAAAAACAGCTCACAGTTCCATTCGTTATTTACGCAGATTTTGAGAGTATTTTGAAACCAATTGAATATAATGAACCTAATAGCGACAAAGCATTCACAGTTAAAACCTATGAACATATTCCATACTCCTCCTCTTTTTACATCAAATGTAGCTTTGATGATTCGTTATCAAAATTGATTCATTATCGTGGCATTGATGCTGCAGATGTATTTGTCACTAAAATAGAGCAAGAAGTTATTCAACTCTACAGTGATCATTTAAAGTACCCTAAAGAAATGTTACCTCTTACAAACGTTCAGGAGGAGAGTTTTGGGAGCAGTACTACATGTCATATTTGTGAAAAAATAATTGGGGTTAATGAGGTTAGAGTCAGAGACCACTGTCATATGACAGGTCACTATAGGGGCGTGGCACATTCTAAATGTAATTTAAATTACAAGATCCCCAAATTCATCCCCGTATTTTTACATAACCTCACAAATTACGATTGTCATCTTTTCATCAAGAAACTGGCCTTGAATAAAGAAAAAATAGATGTTTTAGCACAAAACAAAGAGAAATACATATCTTTCTCAAAACATATTCTAGTTGAAAGGGGTGAGGGTGAAGTGAGAAACGTATATATGAAATTACGATTTCTTGACTCGTTCCGTTTTCTACCTGGATCTATCGATAAATTGAGTAAAACATTGCAGTCAGACCAGTGTACGGAAATTAGAAAATATTTTCCCAATCAGAACGAGTTTGATCAAATTAGACAAAAGGGTATTTTTCCTTATTCATACGTGAATTCGATTGAAAAGTTGAATGAAACAAAGTTGCCACGTCGAAATGATTTTTTCGACATTCTGCGTGGTCAGGATGTAAGTTTGAAAGATTACAACAGGGCCAAAAATGTATGGAATATTTTCAAATGTGAAACTTTGGGTGATTACTCCGATGTCTACCTCAAATCTGATGTATTATTACTTGCAGACATATTCGAAAATTTTCGAGAATTTTGTATACGAATATATAAGCTCGATCCTGCACAATATTATACAGCTCCTTCATTAAGTTGGGATGCCATGCTACGTAATACAGGAACCCAACTCGAACTAATTACCGATATAAACATGCTACATTTTTTCAGAAAAGGTATTCGGGGTGGGGTTAGTCAATGTTCGACAAGGAAAGCTTCAGCTAATAACAAATTCCTCCCAAACTATGATAGCTCCAAACCTAATTCATATCTTCTGTATCTAGATGCGACCAATCTTTATGGTTGCGCGATGAGTGAACCCCTTCCAAAAGGTGAATTCAGATGGTTAACACAAGAAGAAATTGCAAATTTCGATTGTTCGTTATATGAAGATGATTCTGACAAGGGTTACGTTTTAGAAGTAGATTTGGAATATCCTGAAAAACTACATGACTCCCATAATGATTTTCCATTTTGTCCAGAAAATATCATTCCACCAAATGGAAAACTCTCCAAACTTATTCTAAACCTTCATGATAAGAGTAAATATATTATACACTACAGAAATCTCAAACAGTGTTTGAAACATGGTTTGGTATTGAAAAAAGTTCACAGAATATTAGAATTTTCGCAAGATAGGTGGTTAAAATCTTATATTGATCTGAATACTAAACTCCGCAACAATGCTAAAAATGCATTCGAAAAAGATCTCATCAAGTATCTCACAAATTCAATTTTTGGTAAAACTATGGAAAATGTTGATAAACGGGTGAATATAAAGCTCTTATCACATTGGGAAAATGTGCGTGGCACAACTGGTGCTCAAGTTCTGATAAGTAAACCTCATTTTAAGTCGAGTTCTGTATTTTCCGAAAATTTGGTAGCCATTCAAATGAAACAGCTGAAAGTTTGCTATGATAAACCTTTATATGTGGGTTTCTCTATTCTCGATATATCAAAAACAGTGATGTATGATTTCTATTATGATTTCATCAAGTCAAACTATGGTGAATGCGCTTCACTATGTTACACTGATACAGATTCGTTGATATTACATATAAATACTGATAATGTTTATAATGATATCAAAGATAATTTATTCTGGTTTGATACATCAAATTATCCAGACAAGAATATCCATAACATTCCCCAAACCAAGTCTGTAGTTGGAAAATTCAAGGATGAGTATGGTGGTGCCCTCATAGAAAGTTTTTATGGTACAGGAGCAAAAGCTTATTGCGTCCAGCTAAGTCATAGTGAAACAAAAAAAGCTAAGGGAATATCTAAAAGTGTAATAGAAAATCAGCTCAACTTCACAAACTTCAAACAAATTGTTGAAGAAGGTGGGGTGGTTTATAGAAAAATGTATGTTTTTCGATCATATTTACATGTAATGTACACTGAATTGAAAAATAAAGTTGCATTGTCATCTCATGATGATAAAAGATATGATTTACCAGGTGTTGCAAAAACATTAGCTTGGGGGCATAAATCTATTGATAATAATACCTTTAGCAATAAGGGTTTAGATTTGTTAATTGAAATAGCGGAAGACTTATGTACCGTAGAAAATAATGATGATGAATTTTATGTAAGTAATTTTGATTTGAGTAATACCTATGCTTAAAATGATTTATTGTGATCTACTATTGAAATATCAGGTAATGTCATCGACATTTCCGTTTTGCGCTTGGATAAAAATATCAAAATGATTGTAATGGAACTGGAACTATTACTTCAATAAACAAATGTATTCATCATTTTTGTTTTATTTCTGATGTGCATGAAAGTAGATACTGATGATGAGAAACTGGTTTGAAAGTTGTGGGAGAGGAAAGCGGTTTGGAACAACCTGTTTGATTAAAAACTAGTTCGAAAGTTGTGGAAGGGAGAACCTGTTTGATGAAACTAGTTTGAAAGTTTTTGGAGACTTGTTCAATACAAAATAAAAAGTTGTAGGAGGGGTTTTTGGTTATAAAATCCTGACATTATGTCTCACATTTCATTTTGTGAAAATTAATCAATCAGTAAAATCATTGAAATGTGGATGGCATATGTGAGTGAAGTGGAAATAAATGATCTAAAAAGTGGTATCGAAAATTTGCTACAAACTTTCAGTAATTTGCGCTTTGATGCGGAGCATGAAGCAGTATATTATGGTATGGGTCGTTTTCACTCCGAAGAGTTTTGTACAAAATTAGCTCAAAAATATGACGCAGGAGTTCAGTTGTGTCAACAATTACTAGAGGGCGAGGTGAAGCTGGAGAGTTTTGTAGAAGGCCTTATGAATTTGAACTTCGTGGGCTACCTGCACCGCATCAAAAAGTATCTTCCTAAGAGCCTATCAGAATATTGGCTCAGTGATAGTGATGATGATGATGATGAGTGTGAGGAACAAGACGATGAAGGAGGAGAAGAAGAAGAAGAAGAAGAAGAAGAAGAAGAAGAAGAAGAAGAAGAAGAAGAAGAAGAAGAAGAAGAAGAAGAAGAAGAAGAAGAAGTAGAAAATGGTGAAATAAATGATCTTGATATGGACAATAAATGATCCTATAAAATTTTTCTGTTTTTCGATCTTGAAATAAAAAATTCAACTTGATTATATTATTTTTTATTGAAAAGTCATGATAAAATGTTCATACAAATAAAAAACATTGGATAGTGCACATATACATTGTGTCTTTGAATGGTTAACACATTTTGGGTGAGACATTCTTAAAGTTGGCTGCTCATCGAATTCAACAACTGGTTTGTTTATGAACTGTCTGATATAGTTAGCTTTTTCTAAACCTTTTATATAGATGATGTCATAAGAATTTGATAAATCCATCATTATTTTGCAGAATAGATGTTGTGGTGTGAATCCGGCATCCCATGCTATGCAATGATGATTCTCAGTTAGCCAGTGAGCTTGTCTCTGCAAATCTGGTGATAAATGGTCGAATGGAAATGGTGCTTTGAAAATATAGTGACATATTCTGAATCCATCAAAACCAGCCAACTCTTTCACAATGAATTTATTTTTTTCCAATTTAAAGCCTTGAACATCTAAAATAAGCTTCATATCGTCAAATTATTCAATGTTTTCAAAACAACTATCTTGTCACTGTACAGCTGTAAAACTCTCTTGAGTTCCTTTAATTTTTCAATGTGTTTGTCAAGAGAGTTGATAAATAGTGATTTACGTACACTTCTCTCATACAGCACTGATTTCATTATGATACATCTTTACGGTGTAATTTACTGTTATAATAAAAATTTGTCATGCGCAATTTAAAGTTGTCGTACCATTTTCGTTAGAGGATTGTATGTAAAATGCCTTTCATGGAGAATCAGGCAGTAAGCTGTAGTATTATTTTTAGTAGCTTCAGCAGTTTCAAATTCAATTCGCATAACTATACTACCAGTCTGTACAGCTTCTTTCTGTCGTGAACAGTCGATGTGTGATATAGGAGCCACCTCTTTAAATTCAATGGGGCTGAATAATGGTTCATTGCTTACTTTTTCATTATAATACGTTTCTTGAAAATTAGCATACATTTCATACAAAGTTGCAAACTTATTGTTCTTGAAATCTAAGTATAGATCATTGTAGGGAAACTTGTCTGAATTAAGGAATAATCTCATGTTTGTGAGACTACAATTATCGAACTTGCTCATATCACTCATAATTTTCCCTTTTTTATCAACTTGAAATGCTACGATAACATGTCGGGGGGTTTCTATTTTATTACTTGTTTTGACTGGCCATTGGTGGCGAGAAGAGGGTGGTAAACTAGGGTATTCAATCAGCTCCCATGACCTGAAACTTATTGGAAGATCTGTGTTCCTATTGATGATTTTATTCATCCCAAGTTGTGCAGGAATACTAAGAGTGACGTGTGGCACTCTCCAGAATATTTTACTTATTTCAACCTTGGGTTTTTCTGTATCAACTGTGCTTGTGACACTATCGAAATCATCACTAGACCGAATAATAACTAACTCTTGCTTCATATTGATGATTAACTTCTTAAAATCTTCAAAAAAGCCCATCAGAAACTTCATGGGAATACACACATTGAATAATCCTTTGGAATCGATCAAGATCTTTTCGGTAGGTAACGACTTGAAAAATCCTGCATTTTGTAAAGAGTTGCATTCATTAGTGTTATATGATAAGTATGCTTTCAAGGTGGAAACCAAGCCTACATTTCTGACAGAGTCAACAACGATACCACCCAATTCATATCTCATTTCTCGAAACAAAAATGAAATTCCATTACTTATGAATTTTATTTTATCAACGGGGCTGTTGTTCTCTTGAGTCAATTTACCCTCAATGTATAAATAACTATTACAAGGCGCTGAATAATTATCAAGTTCCTGAATTGGGATGCGGACCTCGTCATTGTAGTTGAAATTACTTGCTACATACGGTTGATATGTGTGGAATTGGTAGTTTTCTACCGTTGTGTCATTGAAAGGTCTACCAGTTACATTCAACAGCTCCATTATACCAATACTTTGAATCCAAGAGATTTCAGAAACAATAGGTTTTTAGATGTTAATATTTTGGCGTTCTTTCTAGAACTAACATGTCCATTGGTAGTAATCTTTCTTTTATACACTTTGCGGGGTGTGTTTACTGGTGAGTCCTTATTAAATCTGAGTACCATAATTAGAAATTCTTCTCAAGTGTAGCGTTATTGTTATTGTTTCTTTTTGGAAGTCTATTATATTTTCGTCTTGATCAAAAACACGTAAAGTAATGTTACTTATCGTCTTGACTGTTACAGGCAAATACAGTATATTCTCTGGTGTTTCCAGTATTTTATACCCATACGGCACAGTTGGAAAAAACTCATGAATAATATGACCGGGTTTGTCATTCAAATAAGATCCATTAGCTATATTACAATCTATGCATATAGCATTCACTTTGAATATCTGAACTGAATCCAATGCTTCATGTCTACCTGGGTCTAGAACTCTTTGGCTGAATCCTAATACAAACCCTATTGAGTTTGGTTTCGAGAAATCGATTTTTGTATTTGTTTCTACTTCAATTTTTGAAGTATGATAATTCAAAGTGAATTTGATCTTCACTCCAGGTTTGACATTGTTTTCAATTATTTTCAGTATGTCAGTCAATTCATAAGACCCAACTAAAATTCCTAATTGATCATTATCATTATAGTAAAACTGATTATTTGTGAAATCAATATTATTAATTTGATTGAATGTTTCGAAACTCTTCAGACCAACTTCATAATTCACGTTATCTTCGAGATATAGAGGTACATCTAAGTTAGCTGATAAAACTGAAGACTTGCCTGATAACGTGAAAGTAAAAGACATGTTGACGGTAAAAAAGTTTATTCACAAATAGCTCAACATCCAATTTCATACTGCTTATATAAAAAAATCAAACATAAATGTCCGCATTGATATGAATCATAATCCTGGAACCGATCATGATTGTATTTTACATTGTTCAAGCCACCATCACTCCGAAAATACTTCACCAACTCCATTGGTGGTTTAAGATCTCCATAACTATCAAAATACAATATTTCCGTATTTTTCTTTGTATATGCCGTCCAATGTGTTCCATCGCCCGAAGATATATCCAAGTTCACAATACCACATTCATTTTTTCGAATTTTTTTCGGTAGTTCATTTCTCATGAAAACACCGCGAAAATATGGTATCTGAAGATTTTCAACATATTTGAGTAAGTCGATGTTAGTAAGTGCTCGGTGTGGTAGCTTCCTTATTAGTTTTTTTTCAAACCAGAACCCTTAGCATATGGTTTGAGGTATAAACCTTTACCCTTTTTCAATGCCTCCTCTACGGCTGCATCATGTCTTTTTTGTTCTTCTAACGCTTTTCTATTAGTTTTTACATCATTCACAGCTTTTACAATCGAAGCCGTTCCACCACCAATAGCTCCAAGTGCCCCCAAAAGTGGAAATAATAATGGGAGGAATCCACCTATTTTTGGAGTTGGAATAATTCTTTGCTTTTTAAATTTCTTCACTGTTTTCCGTTTTTTTCCAAATTTCAAGGAGCCACCTTTTTTCTTAGAAGATACTTTTTTTCTCAACCCCATACCGAATTTTGCCTTCGATTTCATGATACCAGCGACTCCTAGGGCTGCTAGTTTTTCACCAAGCCCAGCGTCTGATGATTTGTAACGCTCAACTGCCGCAGATGCTAATTCACGATCTGCTGTATTTCTAGTTGCAACGTCATCAAATTTTGAATAAGCTATATCGTGGGATTTGCACGCTTCATCAAGCGGGTTTATACCAGGATCACCCCTGATTAATCTTTTTTGTAATTTTGTTCCGGGTCCACAATAAGAATACCCTGGTATATGCGCCTCGAAAGGGAGTTTATTGATTAGACTATTTAACAACCCACTACCTTTTTTCTTCGACAGTCGATAACGAATGATATCATTACGCTTGTGTCGAGTCATTATATGGAATGTAACTAATCTGATTTTGTGGGCATATATATATATATATATATATATATATAGTGAAACAAAAATTTTGTGTTGTCAGTGCATAAACACTCCCCAAAATGAAGATACAGAAGCAAAAATATAATTTAGAAATCACCAACCATGATAGTCATAGTTTAGTCAACCATTACCATAAACATGGCCCCCTATTTGGGGGTCAGGTGAAACGAGGACTGCTTGTAGGTGCATCAGGTTGTGGAAAAACTAATGTCATGTTGAGTTTACTAGAACACCCAAACGGATTACGTTTTGAAAATCTCTATATATATTCGAAATCGTTGTATCAACCAAAATATGAGTATTTGAGAAGTTTGATGGGATCTATACCTGAGATTGGTTATTATGAATTTAGTGATGGTGATGATGTTATATATCCTGAGGAAATAAGTCCAAATGCCGTTATAATTTTCGATGATGTTGTATCATGCGATCAAAATATCATAAAAAAATATTTTTGTTTCGGTCGACATAAAAACACTGATTGCTTCTATCTGAGTCAAACTTATTCTGCCATATCAAAACAATTATTGAGAGATAATGCTAACTTGATTATAGTATTTCAATCAGATATGACAAACTTAAAACATATTTATGATGATCATGTCAATATTGATATGAATTTTACACAATTTAAAGAAATCTGCGCATTTTGTTGGTCGGATAAATTTGGATTTCTTGTAATAGACAAAGACTGTCCTATGGATGCTGGTCGATACAGAAAGGGTTTTGACATTTTTATAACAATATAAATATACGTTGTATGGATGCAATCAACAGTTCGACACAAATCTTACATGATGAATGATCAACTCGCTGAAGAACTGGAAAAAACCAGAGTTGCTCTGAGAAAAAAGTATAAACTATTGAAAAGTGATATTGCGCAATCTGAAACAAATTTAGAAAAAACATACAAACCTTTGACAGAACCACTAAAAAATTTGATATCCAAATTGGAAAAACCACGAGAAATCAAAACTGAGTACAAGACATCACCTAAATTATCACCATCAAGGAATATTTCAACAAGTTTCCCAAATTATATGCGACAATCCATTTTTGCGTCTAAACCTGAAACTTCATTTTCTTATGACCCATCTATAGAGGATGAAGGAAGTTTTTTCGATGAAACAGTGTATAATAGACCTGAACCCGAATTACCATCAGATATTGAATTAACGCCTGGTTACCTGAAAGAATTGGAGCAATATGCAATGCCTCTACCAAGAGCTTACATTCGGGAAAAAATTGAAACCAGTAATAAAGATTTCGATGAAACGTTCGGAATTTTCTATGATGTGATGACCAATAAATTTTCCATTGGTGATTCCCCTATAAATTTTGATAATGCCAACCCTATCATTAAAGGAAAAAAGTATCCTGGTACAGCAGGCCTCTATGAACTATTGTTCAAAAAAAGACCTCTTGGATATAAGTCAGCAGATCTTGATAATTATATTGATATATTGAAAAAAACAAATGCTATATATCTGGGTCACGATCCTTCACGAGGTCTATCTACATCAAATTCCGATAAATTCAAAAATTTAATC